TCGCTATCTTCATTAAATAAGGTTATTATTGACAAAAAAATTTATTCTTAATTAGTGTGCAACTTTTCAAAATGACATATATTAAAAATATGAGGTAGTAAAGTTTATGAATGTCCTTTTATGTAATTTTGCATGGTAACAACTATTTACAGACAACTAATTTATCAAACAATTTCGTAACCAACCGCTGACAAAACCGTTGGTCAAAACAGCTGACACAATCCGCTAGTCAAAACAGTTAACACAATCAGCTAACAGCTAACAGCTAACCGCTGATTACCAAACAAGGCCTAAGTAGAGTTACGAGAATTAAATTTAAAATGTAATCGATCAAATGATTGAATATGATTTATATGCACAAAAAGGAGGAGATTCTACAGTCCCGTTACGAAACCATTTCGTCGGGGTTTATAACTCCGTTAGATCAACTATCCATGACGGTTACACGATGATCTAACAATTAAAAATCTCAAAGAAATGGTAGCCTAACGGGACTGTAGCGTTTTTCAAAAATAAAAATTATTTGTTAAAATTGCAAAAAAGCCTGTAAAATAAAAGTACAAATAAAATAAAATAATAAAAATCAACACCACGTTAGTGAAACGAGAAAGAAAAAGAAGATAAAAAGTAAAAACGAGGGAACATCTTTTTACCAGAAAACACTCGAACAGTACAACACAAGAAAAAAAAAGGAAAAAAAAAAAATTGAGTCAGATCAGTAAAACTGATTAACAAATTGTCAGCCAATCATTTTCCCCCCAAAATAAAACCCTAATTCAAGAAATCAAACCTCAACCCATCACTTCACCGACCTCGAATTCCTGCACTCGTGCTGCTCGATCGTCGGCGCCGTCCTCGTCCCGTTGGCCGTCACCGCCCTCACGTGCCCTACCATCGACACCTGCAGCGCCTCCTCCTCGTACGCCCGCCTCTCCATCTCGTCCATCCTCGCCTTCTTCTTCGCGTTCGCGAACATCGCCACCAGCAGCAGCGACAGAAGCGCCGCCCCCAGCGCCCCCCCGATCGAGCTCACCGCCGCGATCTTCCACTTCCCCACCTTCCCTCTCAGCGGCATTATCAGGTCCGGCCCGGCCACCACCACCAGCCCGAACCGGCCCGGACCCGCCGCCGCGCAGCAGACGTTGGGCCTCGTTTGGTTCGACAGAACGACCTCCCCGTCGTCACCAAAGCTGGCGCATACCGGGTCGAGGCCCGGTTTGGTCCTCGTCAAGGTCGACCCACTGAAGTCGATCGTGATCAGGTTCTTTCCGGCCCGGATTTCGACCTCTGGCGGGATTATGCTAAAGTTCTCGCCTTTGACGAGGCTGTAAGCTGAGAGGGCTAAGACAGGGGAAATGAGCTGGTAGCTTCTGTTGTTGTTGTAATAAACGGATGTCCATTTGGGCCCGAGGCTTTGCCGGATGAGGATGACCCGTTGGGTGCAGTGACGGGCCATCACACCACTGCCCAAGTTGAATTCCTTGATTTTGGCGCCGTACCTTAGTAAGCTTCCACACCTTAGCCTTATTATGTCGACTTCTATGCCGGAGAAGTTTTCAGGGAGATGGATGGTCTGCAGCTCCCCTGTCTTGGTGGAGTTGGCCGCGTACGATTTGAGTGTGTAGTTTGTTATGACGTTGTTGAGGGTTTGGGCCGATTTGATTTCTTGCGTTTTGGGCTTTGAGGCATGTAGAGGAGTTGCGGATAAGAGGAAAAACACGATGAGGGAGGAGGAAAAGAGGAGGGTGATACCCATTTTAATGGTGATTCTGAATTTGTGATCAGAGGAGGAAAATTTTGTTTGATGATTGTTGTAGGAAGGGTGGGCTAGGTTTCTTGTGGTTGAAAGACTGCAAAAAACAGGAGCTTTGATTGTTTGATGTGCAATGAAAGTAGCTAAATGAGTGATCAAGTTTCTTGTGATTCTTTGTTAGTGGTTATGAATTTTGATCATTTGTGGCTGAGTGGGGACAGATGAGGATTGTGCTCAAGTTTTGTCCATGTGAGAGATGGATTTGGGGTGTTTTTGGTGAATCAAATGGTAAGTAACTAAGTATTCTAATACATATGGTGTACTTTCTTCTTCTACATTAGTGGTACTAACTTTACTACCTTTCCTTTCTTCTTTCGTGTTGTATAGATAACTTGGGATGAGGGGAGCCGCTAGAATGGGCCTAGATGAATATCGGTTTTCGACTTGAGAGTCTTAATCATTTGATGACAACTTGATTCTTGTTATAAATACATGTTTCCATGTTGGTTAGTTCTACAACTTACAAAGACATTTTACTATGCAAGAATCGTACGAATACCTCCGTATAAGTACGTCTATCTTGATCAATCGTATTATAACAATAGAGCTTTATTGTATAGGCAAAGAGCAAAGTTACATGAAAAGTTAAACCTTTTATCCTTCTCCATTTTTAAAGAAAAGCACGGTACCGTTTCTTTTGAAAATTGTTGGCTTTTTTTAAATGCAGGGCCGGACATAAGGAGGTTGAGGGTAATGATACTTGGAGCATCAAGTTATGATGATGATAAATGATATACAAGTCAAAAGGTTCAAGTGAAAAGAGGGTTCATGGCGTGCTTGGATTTAATTAATGCCCCTCCAATTTAATAAAAACTAGTATTAATATCTATGTACAACATGGGTGTTGAGTTAATGAATATATGTGTAAAGTTATTTACGTCTAATACCAAACTTAACTCCAGAGCAAAAATAATATAAAAACATCACGAAGCATAGATTTTCGTCATGTCAACATCCGGACCGTGAGAATCTGTCATCTAGGCTCAACACGTTTTGAATTAATATATATATGAAGGGATTTTTAGTTATTTATTCATTTTATATATTGTTTGGGGTTGTGTTTGATTATATGTCTCCCACTTTCTCTTTACTTTTCCCGCCAGCATGCATATAAATTACAATAAAATTGCTCACTACAATGGGGACCAGATGTCCATATATCTCTCTCTTTATTTTTATTTTTATTTTTTCAGACTTTTTCTGTTCTTCCTCTCCTTTTTCTTTTCGGTAATTATTAGTTAAGTCAGACTAACTACTAAACTAAACTGGAGTATTATTTTGGTGAATATACATACATACATAAAGATGTCATATTTTGAAAATTCAATAGTATAAGTATGCATTTTTGTACAAGTACTATTATGATGAGGTGACTCGTCAAATAATTAGGTTGTTTCACACGATAATTTGTATATCTAATGTTATTTTGTTTTGTTATTGAAGAATGGAATTTTGAAAGGTAATACTATACATAGACATGGATAGGGTCGGACTGGCCCGGGTCCGGCCCGTATGCACGGGTCCTTGAACTGGACCCGCAGTAATACCGGGCCCAAAGACAGGTTCTGGTTTTTTAAATTGATTTTTATTTATTATTTAATTATAAAATCGGCAGTTCAATAAACAAACTTAGAGATGCTAGATGGTCTTTGGCCCGACGGGCCGGCCCGTTTAGCCCGGAAAAAAAAGGGTTAGGTCCTTTTATTAGTAGCCCGATTAAATCAGGGCTTTTTAGGTCCGGACCGTTTAGCCCGAAACCCGTCAGGGCTGGCCTGTTTAACTAGGATTGGACGGTGTAAATGTTTGCATCAAGTAAGTAATATGCTCTTAAATTACTTGTATATTACTATTTTGATATTCCACTTCACATGTAAGTATGAGTTGTAATGAATTATTATGATTTTGAAAGATAATTATTAACAATATTGTTATTGTACTTCACACTAAAATATTTAAGTCAATCAGAAAGACTAATAAAAAACACATGAAACATAGTGATAGACGGTAAATACTAAATAGCCGTTAAAAATAATTTTTAACAACCGTTGTTATTTTTTTAATAAATTTTTTACTCTTTTTATTTTTGATTTTTTTTATATTATTATTAGTATTATTATTATTATTATTATTAATATTATAGTCCGCATAGCCCGTTTAGCGCGAAGCCCGCTAAGGTTAGGGTTAAGTTTTTTTTTTGATAGCCCGTTTAAATCCGGGCTCTTTTGGCCCGTACCGTTTAACTCGAAGCCCGCTAAGTCTAGCCCGTTTAACATCTCTAAATAGACTTTTACATAAAGCCAGGCATGTTCTGGGTCCATGTTTTGAGGCCCGGCTACCCCGCCTTGCCTTTGGACACGTCTAACTATATGTCCGCTAGAGAAAGAATGTTGCATTTGATGCCACATATGAACTGAACTGGAAAAGTTTACAAATCGGGCAGGTTAATGAATAGTATAGGCTTATAGCTCCAATATTCAAATAACTTAGCATTCATTTTATTAGATATAATTGTATATTAAGATACACCTTTCTTATTTTTTTTTCAAAAAAAAAAAAGAAATATTACCTGACTTATGAAACATTGTAATCACTTTTCTCACGGTAGAGTTGTTACACGAAACGAGCCTCTCGTGACCGCTGCTTGTTTGATAAATGAGCTGAGCTCGGCTTGCCAAAGTTCTGAAATGTGAATTTTTATGTAATTTTTTATAGCTCGACCTATTAATACTTTCGCTCGAGTTTGCGATTGCCACCCCTGCCCACAAGACAATGTCTCGACTTGTTCGCCTACGATATCCTTGGACCAGAATCTACTAGTTAACTTAACCCAGATTACATGCAGTAAATTACATATGCTTGCATAAGTCAAGAAACATAAAATCTCAATATGCTAATGATTATTTTTACATCCAAGTTCTCGCTAACCATGTCATTAATTTGAATTTCACCACACAATGTCAAGTAATTAATTCCCCAATTCTCCTCAGTTGTTCAGATGAATCGTTCACTTTTCGTGATATAATAGTAAATAGACAAATGAAAAAAAAAGGGTCAAAACTCTTCTGAATATCCATAAGTTTGAATAAACACCCCTTTTCGTTAACAAACAAAATCAGCGAGCTAAAGAAGATCGATGTTGAAAGAGCTAAAAATAGTAAAATTAAAACCAGAGCTCGATCGATGATCATCAGAGGAAGTTAACATTAGTAGAGTAGGTGATGCCGGCTTGCCAAGTAGCCAGCGCTACATTGTAAGCAACAATCGTCTCGTGCGAAGTGTATGATGTTATCTTGAACGAGAGGGCCTGTCCTCCGAGGTTGGCGAAGACCTGGTAAGAAGCACCCCAATTGTGGCTCATGCTTATCCACCCGGTTTTCGTGCCCTTAACCCACATGCTGGCCATGTCCCCTCCGCCACCCACATTCATCACGTAGACGAGCAGCCAGTAACCGTTCCCTTGGAAGCTGAACCGAAGCCCACCCTGGCGCACGCACGGCACTCTGTGTATTCGTACATTATTTAATACACTGAGATCATCGGAGGTATGTATATATGTATGTATCTGGAATTATTAGTGATTTCTTGATTTTCATGACCTATTTGAGTTTTGTTTGTAACAATATTATGGAGATCTCATGTAGGTATTGTTCAGTGTCATCAGTCATGAAGTAAAGTGTTTCATCTACTACAGGTTGAGTAAAAAAATTCACTTTGTACAAAAACTTTTTTTTTTTTTTTTTTTTTTTGATAATTTGTAACAAAAACTTACTAGTAGAAAATTTATACTTGAAAAGTCAAAATAATATAAGCTTTTATTTAATTTTTTCAAATACTTTCTTAAGATATTATTAACTTTATTTAAAATAAAATTCATTACCTGTAAGATTTGTTGGCTCGTCTTATTTAAAAATAAATTTTCTAACTCATATCATATAATTGACTTGATAAATAAAATTAGTTAATAATTAATATATTTTATTATTTTCCAATCAGATATTCTAAATATATTAATTTTTATTTATCAACATCAACATCAACATACCAGGGGCGAAACTAAGAGGGGGGTCGGAGAGGCGTCGGCCCCTCCAAAAAAAAAAAAAATTAAACTAGGGGTGGAGGATTTTGCTGGAACTGAAAGATTTTTCTTTGAGCGCGTATGTTGGGTCCTCCCCGATTTCATGCGGTATATACATGGCCGGAGGGGAAACACCGGTTTTGTCGTGAAATTTTTTTTAAAAGGCAAATTGGGCCCTCCCCGAAACGGATCCTGGTTTCGGGACAAAGAGAACTATAACAGCAGCGGAATTTAATAATTTTTTTCATTTTTATTATATTTTGAGTTGGTCAATTAGTCGACTTGTGGTGTACCGACGGGATTAAAAAACTGAGTCGATCATTACCGAAAAATACTTTTATGAAAGTACAGGAAGCGGAGAGTGCGTTGGTGACATCGATTTATGATTTTAAGGTCTCAACCATTTATTTTGGGTAGCCCAAAGTTGAGAGAAAAATGGCAGTGGCGGTGATTTTATTGTCATTTTCATGTCTAGACTTCAGGTAACCATCGGCCCTCGTTATGCGTGCTGAAAATTAGCGGGAGTGCTTTCTTGAAAGCACAAGAACAGTAGAAGTCGTTCGTAAAATTTATTTCACGTTTCGAAGTTTCGAGCATTTATTTTGAGAAGCTCGAAGTCGAGTGCGCATAATAAAAAAATAAAAAGCTGTTTTGCGGGGTTCCGTAAGGTTGCGTGTGACCTCGGTTTAACGAGAATCGAGTTGGAGCATGTAGACAATTCAAGCACGATTCCATACAGACAAATTTTGCATTTTTCGGAGTTCCGAGCATTTATTATGGGAGTTTGAATTTCTGCGTTAAATGGTATCAAAAGGAGCAAATTTGTTGAGGACGAGTTCGATCATTCGAGGCTTTATTTTCTCAATTTTTTCAGCTTTTTGTCTATTTGAAAGGAGGTATAATTCTTGTTTATTATTATAATTGAGTCCGAGATTTTTATTAGTATGAATTCGAGTATTTTTTGAGTTAAAACAATTTAGTTTAAGTATACCAGTTTAATTCCGGACTTAGTTTGATTTTTAGAAAAATATCCAAAGTATTCTTTTATATCCTGCGAAAATTTTTGAGAGCGTCCACAAAAGCCCTTAAGCGCCCTTCCGATGCCGGAGTGGGGGTGGTGCGCCGCGGGATGGCCGGAGTGGGGGTGGTGCGCCACGACAAATTGGGCCCTCCCCTGGATGACCGGCTGGTTTCGCCACTGAACATACCCAGTATATTCCCAACAGGTTGGGGTCTGGGGGGTCAGTTGTACGCAGACCTTACCTTTGTAATTATACAAGGAGACTGTTTTCATAGCGACCCAAGGTGCGTTGCGTCGTTTGGTATATTTTTTTTTCTAGAAACTTCACTAATAGAAGAAACACTAGAATTTAATTGAGTCATTTTGATCTAGTCCATTATTAGCACTATGTCAGGAGAATTGTTAACAATGACTCTTCCAGCTCCATATGCAATGTACATTTTAATTTTTATTTATCATGATATATATATATATATATATATATATATATATAATATGTATAACAAATCGAAAACAATTAAGAGATAATTAATTTGATATATATCATACAAAAATATTGATAACAAATAAAAAAATTACTAAGTTTTAAAACATATTTATAATTTAAATAATAATGTATTTTATATTTTAAATAATCCTAATTGACATACATAAAAATCCAAATTTACATAGACCATTCCAAAGCACCGAAATTTTGACACATAGGATTACGTTAAATGTTAGACACATAAGATTACGAAACACCAAAAGTTGATGCACGGGTTTGGAAAATGCGGCGAGAGGGATGTCAAATCGCATGACAAGAAGAGTCGGACAAATGAAATGATTTTATTTTTTTTTTAACATTTTGAGCTCGATTTTTAATCTAAAACTTTTAGTTTTAGTCAAGTTTTGGTTCGATTAGTTTACATACGGAACATGACGGGCATAATGCCGGCTTTCCATTGGGCGATCTTCATGAAGACCGGCTTGGCCATGTCAAAATGGGTCCGTGGCGGGTTGCACCAGCCGCCGTTGTTGGAGTCCTGAGACCAATT